CAGCAAAACAAATGCTGGACAGGTCAACTATGAATAGAAATATACATTATTATATCTATGATACATTGATATTTTGTATCATATACATTATCTTGGATGTGTATATGATACAAAAGTATATCATATACGTTTACTATATTGTCTAACATTTGTTAAATTTATGTTGCAGTACATCAATGTAGTTTTGTATTACTTAAGGAAGAAGTCAAAACTACGGAACCCTAATGAGTACATATTCACCACTGTCAATTGCTTATTCAAGACATTTATTAATGATGCATACAATAGGTACTACTACGACGCTTCTGATGATAATTAAAGTACGCAAGAGCACATGGCATGTGGTGCTGTTGTATCTGGAATCGGGAGGTCAATTAAGAACATAATCAAAGGATTTCCATCCCAGCTGGTGTACCATGGCATCTAGTTGATGAGGTATACATCCCAGTGAACTTAAATGGTGAGTTCCATTTGGTGTTGGTTGTTGTTGTTGTAAAAAAAAAGGCTCATTCGCGTCTACGATTCATCAATCGGTACAAGAATAAAAGAGTCACGTGGTGAGATATAAAAGTTGGCGATTATGCTATCATTTTTCCTTCATGACAGTGCTTTTTTCGATCAAACTGAACGAACCGACTGGTCATCATTGGATGCTTACAAGGACATTCAAACTGGAATGCTTTTGGAACTAAACATCATATTTAAAGTTGAATTCGCACAAACATCATGCAACAACAATGCGATAGCTTGTAACTATTAACATGTCTTTTATTAAAGTTACAATATATATTATTTCTCTTTATAATGAATAATTCTCATTATTTAAATGGATTGCATAATGTATGTAGATTCTTTTGCTGAGTACCTTAGCGATGGGATTCCTGTTTCCAAAATTGGTTTCCCTTCAGACTATTTCCGTACAAGATATAGAGACTTTTGTGGCAACATGCTACTAAAAAGTCTATGACATGATAAATTAGTGAAAATGATGATCCCAGAAGGCCTAGAAGTCATTTCAAGCAACCAGCTCAAGAAGATTTGGTCAGTATTGGTTAGATCTTAGAACACTTTTTATAGTGTTATTGTTTTTGAGACACATTAACTTTAGCTTTGAACTTTTGTGATTTTTGTTTTTTTTTCAGATTTTGTACCAAAGAGTTACTGTTTATCTTAAAACTTGTTATTTTGACATCAACTTTCAATTTTTTGACATGTTATATATGAAGCACATTGATGTACAATCTTGTCATCAGATAATTTAAAACAAAAGTTGAATGACATTTATGTATCAGATTAATTTATCCTCAAACACATTACAACATTTACGCTCATTACTTCTTGTAAGCACTGATACTTCCACAGTTTACTAATGTAATGTATCATATTCATTAAATCATAAACAAACGAATTCAATCATTTTCATTGCTTCTAATAGGAACTGATACTTTGATACTCTGATACTCTGATATCTTTTGCTCAAATTTATAATACTATAATAACTCAATATATCACATTCAATCATTTATAAAGAAACACCTTTCTTATGCTGGTTGTTTATGCCAATTTATTCTAATTAGTTGTTGGCTCATTCATTTAACTTGTGATACATTAATAATTATAAATTTGAAATACATAGACTGATACAATTATTATAATCAAAATATATTGTATATTATTAGAAAACAAGTGATGATACATTATTTCAACACGTATTTTGGAACATAATCTTTTATGAAATCATATACAAATCTTAACATTTCAAATTATTGTAACAAGATTTCACCAGTTGATAATAGATTGCAATATTTTATCAAGGTTAAATCAAAAATAGAAAAAAAAAACTAAAAGTATAGGGAAATTTAATGCATTTGAAACATAATATATTTTAAACATAAAAGCAGCTCTAACAAAGAATTCTAGAAAGTCTTGTTTTGGGAAGAAAGTACAAGTCATTTTGTTGTGACCTTCCTGTCCACAACGTCCACAATGATTTATGTTTTTTGCTTATTTTTTCACCTGGACATTTCTTTCCCTTTTTCCTTGGTCTTCCAGCCAGCTTTTTGTATCTTGGTGGCAATACATTTTCATTCAAAACAACCTCTGGAGCTGACCAATCCTCCTTATCGGGCATTGGAAGTATAGGAACTTCATATGTGTTTGCTAATGTAGCTGGTTTATAGTAATCTAAGCAGTAGAGACGTATATCTATAATGTTTTTCTTCTTGAAAACAACCAATGCATGTCCACAAGATAGCTCGTCTATCTGAAATCTCCCACAGTTACAAATCTTCCTCTCAAGGCAAACAATGTGTTCTCGCCCACATTCAAAAATTGTATACATAAATTTAGTAGATTGCATAACCCGTCAACATTATGTAAGACACTCACCACCTATTAATTAAATCAACTTTATACTCATAACACCAAATAAAAAAAATTGCAGATACGTTATAGTTTATATATAGGCACATACCTGCACTTTCAAACATTTAGAAGCGTTTATATTCAACAACTCTTCAAATCTCTTACCCAGTGTTTCCTTTGTATAGGAAGCAATTTCTCTATGTTTTAATTCAGAAAAAAGAAAAATATTTTAATTTTATAAGTTTTTGATTTTTTTAGAGTCGCCACATAATTTTTAAGAAAACATAGTTTTCGAAAAGGTTCAAACAGGAAAACTTTAAGAAAATCTTAAAGAGGGGTTCGGCGATTCCCATTTATATTTTAAGAAGGTTCTTAAGACACCTAAAATATTCACTAACTCGTGATTTTTTGACAACTAATTTTTTTGGATAAAATGATCTAACTTAATCTTTTATCTTTTTTGTAATACCAACTTTAACTAAGTGAATAACTTTATCTTGCAAAATTTATTTTAAGTTTATTTACTTGATTGATTCAAATAAGTGATTAAAACGAGGTGGCATTTTTTGGGAATTCGAGATTTTAACCCTAAAAGTAACAGAAAAAATCAACAAACAAATAGATGAAAAGTAAAAGGAGAGAGATAGAGAGTTGGGTCCAAATTCGATTTCGATTCACCTTGACCGGTATTTGGACCCGCTTCATTTTGGGCCTTAAGCCCATTTAATTTGTACTTGTCCTAATTTATAATAGCCTAATTCTAATAATTTAATAACAATAACAAGGGAAAATTGTATAAAATAGCAAACTAATAACTTAAATTAAATGGAATAGCTAGGGTTTGATTTAATTGTGTTCCATAGCAAACATTATCTAAAAATTTGCTAGCGTCTCTCTCTCAGGAATCTCGCTCGCCACTCTCCATTCTCGCTCGCCTCTCTCGCTTTATACACAGAAGTGTATAATTCTATTTTTGTTTTGTATAAAGCGAGAGAAAATTGTATAAACACATGCAAAAATGTATATCTTCGCGATACACACTTAATTATACAATTTACAAACATTTTACTTCAAAAATTGCAGAGAAAAAGGCCAACAAATTATACAATTGTGAATTATACAATTGCAGTGAAATACAATTTTCTCTAGCTTTATACAACAGAAGTGTATATATTGTGTTTCTGTTTTTGTATAAAGCGAGAAAAACATATATCTTCTTGCTATACACTTATAATTATGCAATATACATACATTTTAATTCGATTCAACTATATGCAAAATAAATTATACAATTACAGCGAAATAGGCCAGCGAATTATACAATTTAGGCCAGCGAATTATACAATTTAGGCCAGTGAATTATACACTTGTATATGTATAGCGAATTATACAGTTTTTATGTTGGAAAACTTACATAAATATACTATAATAAAAAAATATTTACCATTTATAGCAATAATATTTTTATCTCACTTGATCACTTTTAATTCATTTATAATACAAGTTTAATACATATTACAAAGAATAATTTATTATTCACATATAATACAAATTTTAATGATGAATAATACATTTATCACACATTTTAATACATTTATAATACAATGTGACAATTTTTTACCAAACAAACATGATATATTTCAAAAAACAATTATAATTCATATATATTGCATACATAATTCACTTTTAATTCATATTACAGATTTAACAAAGTATTGCTATAAATGGTAATAAGCAAAAAGTATCGCTAAAATCAGTAATTATTTTTTAAAATGTATTAATTTATGTAATTTTTCCTTTTATGTTTGCTATGGAGTGCAATTATGCAAAATTTGCTATATTATACAAATATGAATTTTTTGTTTGCTATATGTGAAAGTTATCCTAAAAACAAGGGCTTAGGCCCAAAATAATAAAATACAACATACTAAGAAGGAACATATAAAAATGAAAATGGATTTCTTGATGAAAATCTTCAACTCTAGCCTGTCCGAATTCTTTCAACTTGGGACATGTACGCCTTTTCTGGTGAGCTTGGTTCGACATTAAAAGAGAAGGACAACTTATACTTAGGGAGTTTGGGTTTTAAACTACCCAAAATGCGTAGGAGATTTAGATCCGATGGACTCCGACGACGCTTACATGCAGCGACAATGAATAAAAATATACAAGTAACAAGTCATTCAATAAATATAATAATATAAAGTAATAATAAAAAGGGGGAATTCATGCTCTGTTTCATCAAGTGCCAAAAAGGATAATAATTCAAGTGATTCAATACCAAGATACAACCCATTAAAATTTATCATAACAAGTAAATACTAATGAAACGGCAGTAAGTAAGCTCAGTGAATAAAGGAATGAAGGGAAAATCCTAATCCTAAATTGACTAGCCAACCTTATGAAGGATAGATCAAGACGCGAAATATATATGTCATAAACTTACACAAGAGTAAAATATGTGTGTGATTATAAATTACTACCAATTTTATTAATGAATAACAGCTGTGAAGAGTTAAAGATGATGAGGGTACGTAGGTTAAGAAAAACTGATTAACATGACAAACAAAATTTCCAGCAGTAAGTGTATAAAGTAACACCATAATGGCGAATAACATGAAACAGACGAGTCGATATTTTCGCAATATATTCTTCCCTACATGAATATGGTATTCTCTAACTCGAAATATGAAACAATACAAGGCTAATAAACTACTAGGAAACCAGAGGAAAGTAAACAACTTACAATAGTCAAAATTCAACTTGACCATGTTAAGGTAATACACTCCAATCCCAATTTTATTTCAATCACAGCCACCCTCGCATTTCAATTCTAGCCAATCTCATTGCATTTTTAGCCATTCCATATCTTTTTCAATCTAATTTCAAGACCTCATCTTTTAATCTCATCCATCCATCTTTAAAATAAATCTTAGATCAAATCCTAGACGCTTATCTAAATTAATCTTACGGTTGTGATTAAATCTCCTATTTATCCTATTTTCTAATACCCTTAAAGACTTAATACTAAAATATCACTCATCGTCTTTCCTCTTCAACCGCCTTCCCCCTCTCCATTTTTTCCCGGTGAGCCTCCCTTCGATCCTCACCATCCTCCTCTCTCCCCTCGCCTTCCTCTCCGCCCCTCTCTCTCCCTCGCATTTCTTCCCCTCTCCTTCGTTCCTCTTCCCCGTCGATCCTCCTCTCCCTATCTCTTCCCCCTCTGTTTTGCGGCGAAGGCTGCTGGTGGCAGCCGCCTGGCAGTCCGACCACCGGTGGGCAGCAGCAACTGGCGAAGATCCAGGTGCAGCCGCCGTCTCTCTTCTTCCTCTTTTCTACCCTCTCCTCTCTCCCATTCAACTGCATCAACCAGCAACAGCCGACAACGAGCCACCACCAACAAGCAGCCGCCGAAAGCAGCAGCTTCCAACAACTCCGGCAATGGCTCCAACAATAAGCTTCGGCGATATCCGGGCCTTGGATCATGTGACGGGTCTCAACAGATTCGTCTTTGGTATTTTTAAATTATTTATTACTTCGTCTATCCAACTCTTTTTTAGTTTTTTAGTTTAATCATATGTTCCTATTATTCTAATATGTTTATTATAACTTATGATGTTTGAAATATGCGTTGATTCATATACTTAAATTCTTGGTGTTGATAATTATTTGATTTTTGTATTTGTGTTAATTTTCTAGTGTCTAGTTCACTAAGTTGGTTTGGAATCAGCCTGTTAATTTCGATCCTTGCATTTTGTTTTCCTTAATTATTAATTTGTAGATTTGGTTTGCTTAATTATAGTGTAGATTATTCGATAAAGACACAATGTTTATTTGGATATATTTGATTTTCATGAATGTTACTAACTGTAAGTATGTTATTCTATTACTTTTCATGCATGTTATAATATGCTTAAGTTAAGTTTTCAGTCATTTGGTAAAATTAGCGAATTTCTTACCTTTTTGTTCTTGGAAAAAATATTTATTCACTTAAAAAAAGATTCCATGCTCTCTTATTTAGGAAAATAGTATCCCTCTTTTCTTATTTGAAATTTTGACTGATTTCCTTGTTTTATATGATAAAATAATAATCATTTTAAAAAGTCAATTTTGACTCTTCATTACTTGAGGAAAAAAATAATTGTGGTCATCCTAATTTATTCTTATTTGTTTATAATTGGTAGCATAATAATAATTTAATTTTAGCTTTTCTTTATTTAAGGGAAAATATTATTGTTTTTCCCAACTTTTATTCTTACAAGTTTATCTTTGGTAACGAAATATTCTTAGAATTTTCTAATTTTTGGATCTCCTTTAAAATAAAGAAAATTGTATTATAATTGATTCCTTTAAATATTTATTTCTCTTATTTGTTCCCTCCTCTTCTACTATATAAAAAGACCCCCTTTTCATTCTTTTATCACACACTCTCACATCTTGAGAAGAACTCACATTCTCCCAACTCACACTAAAGTCATTTTTTACTTATAAAATCACAGGTTCTCTCATCACTCCTCACTCTCGCATTGCTCTCTTGCTAGTCTTAAAAAATAAATTAATATTCCGGTATAATATTCAAGTGCTCTTCTTTGCTACTCTGCTACTTTGTTTTTGTTCGAATAAAAGTTGGATCAATTTGTTTTCATTGCTACTATTTCTTTTCTGATTAACCGGTTAGTATTCTTAATTAGCATTTTACTATTGGTCAGCCCTCTATTATTTTTAATTTTTTGTTTGGCATTTATTATTATTGTTGTGTGTTGGGAATAAAAGGAAACACTCCTTATCTTTTCTCCCTATGTGTGTTGATATGTCTATGTCTATATTTTGTCCTTTTTATTTCTTATGTGTGTTGTTTATATATGTATATATGAGAGTAATTAGTTATTATGAATATTTTACATTACAATCATTCTTCCATTGTATATGTGTTACCTTACTTATTTTCGCAGGTTTTAGACTTAAAGTTCAAGATGATGAAGAGTGGCCTAGAAGAAATTTCGGACAAAGCTTTGCTTATTTTAATGTTGTGTATATTTTTATTTGTTATTTTTATTACAATATGTGTATAACTCTAAAGCAACTCCTATATATAAAGAAATTTGGGGGATCGCCTCGGGAGGCGGAATTATGTGTTAATTTTTTAAAAAAATAATTATTGCAAACTTGTTTGTGTTAAAAAGCATGCCTATAAGTTCATAATTTGTTTGATAAATCTTTATGTGATAAAATAATTTTGGATCTAACAAAAATATAAAATAAAAATAAAGCAAATTATATTCGCTCAATCATTTAGTTAATTTTGCACAATTGATGTTTGAAAGCTTTATCCAATTTGGAGTGTTAAATAATGAGTTATGACTAACTCACTAAAATCTTAAGTAAATAATTTTATGTGCATTTTAGTTACTCATTGAATAAATCATGTCTATAGAATTGATGCATTCACATGTCATTTGGAGTTAGAAAACATGCATATAGGTCTTATGTGAATGTGTTGATTATTAAATCACTTAGAAATTATGTTCAACTAATTTTTAGCATGTTCATAATTGATTTGTCTCTTTACTTTGTCATTTTAGTATGTTAAAATGCCTACAGATCATGTCAATAGGCTTGTAAATTTTCAACATTTCAATAACTAAAATAAAATTTGTTGTGCATATTTTTTATTTTTAAAAAAAATAAACAATTCCTATTGATTTATTGCATCTAATAAGTTTACTATCTCTTAAACATAACTTATGCATTAATAAATAAATTTGTTATTATAAAATTCTCTCAATTAACTAATTTTTGCATGTTAAACATTGTTTCAAATAATTTTCTGTACTCATAATATTTTGCTACTGCTTCTTTCTAAAATAATTTTCTGCATTAAATCTATTGTTATTCTTAAAATAAATTTTCTGCCTAAATAAATAAAATGTGTTGTCCTGAGTTATATTTTGCATTAATAATTAAATTCTCTATTGTTTTAAATATATGTGTATGTGGATCATATCCTTTGCTACTTGGAAATAAAACAAAATCTATCATGTCACTAATTGTTGCTTACTTTAAAGTTAATATTAAAATCTACATCCATGTTATCATATTTGCCCTCTCATAATTAAATTGTCGTTACTATAATTTTCTGTTTGTATGTTTACACACTTAGCATAAAACCTTCACAATTATGTGTTGTTTGCATGAATGTCTAATTGATTTTTAAAGGCCAAATTGAGACTTGTATTGCTAAAATGACCGTCTAGTTTGCCTTGTTTGTTTGACTTGGAGTCTATGAGGATCTTATATTCTATTTTGTCTAAGTCCACCCTTTAAGAGTCCAATGCCTCTTGGACAATTAAGTTGGGACGTTAGGCACCTTTTAGGTACGAAATGCATGTGCTGATGGGGTAGGGGTAGTTGGCCCTACGGAGATGATGACATCGACTCAGGCTTGAAAGACAAACTTTGATTTTGTCTGTCCCTATACGGCAGCCTATCAAAAAAAAAAGTCGAGTGCTGATCCAAAAAGTCTTATTTGAGTCTCCCTTCCCTTTTTACCCTTTTACTTGTTTAATAATTATGTTTATTTGGGGTAGGTTAAAAAAAATTATTTGCTTATTTATTTGTCCCTTTTTCTATCCTCTCGCTTATCCTTAAATTATTATTTGATGTTTTATCTATTGCTATCACTTATTTTTACATGCTTAAATAATTAATTAAAAATAATAAATTTATTCCTCAATTTGTTTAATATTTTATCACTTAGTCTCGCATGCCTAAATAATTAATTAAAATAAGGATGCTATCTTTATTGTTTAATATTATATTATCACATAGCATTACACGCTTAGCTAATTAATTAAAATAATAGATAGATTTAATTATTCAAATTTTCTTATCACCTAGCAGGCATATAAATGAACTGACTTTAATTGCTATTTGTAACTTCCACATAGATTGCATGAGATACGATTGGACCCACATTTATGGACCTTGAGGAATTCCTAACACCTTTCCGTCGAGATAATTTGAACTCTTACCCTGATCTCTGTCTTGTTGACCTTAGCTAGACATAGTTAGGTTAAATAGGTATCCTAACGCATCTTAATTCGTTAGGTGGCGAATCCTTAAACTCCAAATTCCAAAAGAGTACGAAAAAATGGGGGCGTGATAGCTTGATTCGACTTTAAAAGATAAAGCCGACATATACTAAGGGATTTTGGGTTTTAAACAACTCGAAATGCGTAGGAGATTTAGATCTGATAGACTTTGATGACGCTCACATGCAGCAAGAATGAATAAAAATACATAAGTAACAAGTCATTCAATAAATATAATAATATAAAAAATAATAAGAAAAAGGGGGAAATCATGCTCTGTTGCATCAAGTGCCAAAAAGGATATTAATTCAAGTGATTCAGTACTAGGATACAACCCATTAAAATTTACCATAACAAGTCAATACTCATGAAATGGCAGTAAGTAAGCTTAGTGAATAAAGGAAAGATGGGAAAATCCTAATCCCAACTTGATTGGTCGACCGTATGAAGGAGAGATCAAGATGCGAAATATATATGGCATAAACTTACACGAGAGTCAAAATATGTATAGGATGATAAAATACTACCAATTTTATTAATGAATAACAATTGTGAAGAGTTAAAGATTATGAGGGTACGTAGGTTAAAAAAACTGATTAACATGACAAATAAAATTTCCAGCAGTAAGTGTATAAACTAACAAGATAATGGCGAATAACATGATACATACGAGTCGATATTGTCGCAATACATTCCTCCCAACATGAACATCGTATTTCCTAATTCGAAAAATGAAACAATACAAGGCTAAGAGAATACTAGAAAACCAGATGAAAGTAAAAACTTACAGTAGTCAAAATTTCAACTTGACCATGATAAAGTAATACACACATGAACAATTTCTATCCTTAATCCACAAATAAACTTAAAAGAATACAAAATACTCAATGTATTCAAACATTTTGAGGAAACAAGAGATAGGCCATTTGACATTGAGATTAAGTTTTAACGTTTTACTGCAAATATCTCCAAAGAAAACAATATTAAATTGACCGGTTGAGAATTAAAGATGAACAACAAAGATAGACACTTCTTTTGGCACTTGATAACAACAAAGGGAAAAGGGGACAGATTCTAACCACATTCTAACAATCATAAGAGGAAAGAAAATTGTTAACATGACTAAACATTACGCTAAACTCGAAAAAAAGACTACCCACACAGAATTTTCATCAAACCCAGGAAGTAAATTTCAATACATACCGTTTTGCAACTATTTAAGATGTCTAAAAGGAACACAATGTGAACTAATTGAGGCAGTCATTGATCATCAAATTGTTTTAGCTATGGGAATCGAACACAAAATTAAAAAATACTCAAAACGGAAGATACAAAATGGTTAGGAGTAAAACAACATAAAGATTACAAAGAGTTTACCTCCTTTTGAGCAGTGAACTGACACGGACAAGCAGGGGTGAAAGACTCCCAAAAAAATGACTCGAGCGCCAACGATGAACCAGCGAACTAGAATGGAAACCCAAATGAGCTCATGGATGGCAAAACGGAAGAATGGGACTTGGAATAGAAATTAATTGTTTTCTATTCTCCCCTCACTTCCTCAATGTATATAGTGAGTATTTTAGCTGTATACTTTTGCTTAAAATCGTCCTAGATATATTTTTCTCAAAATTTCTTACACCCCAAAAAATCTTCCGAACCTTTTTTTTTCAGATTTCCCTTCTTTTTCCCTTCCCCTTTACAGTGAATAGAAATATACAATATATGGGGGGCGAATTAGGGTTTTTGAAATTGGGGGGAAAGTTGGAAGAATCAGATAGGAAATCGGATCCACAAATTCAAAATATTTTCCCCATTAAGGGAAACATCCTTTTCATGAGATTTTGACCCCATTCTAGAAAGGTAAAGGGAGACGGACGACTCAGATTGGTCGAGCGTACCCGCTGTTCGACATGGCCTCATCTCGGAGTTGTGAGGACGATTCCACGCGCCCTCTAGCCTGCTATTGGAGTTGTACAAAACGCAGAAAGGAGAAAGGGACGTTGGATAAGAAAATGACAAAATGAACACAGTGCATACGCTGGTTTGACGCGCATACATCGTTGCTAAGTCACGATTCTCGCTTCTTTTAGGAATTATGCGCTTGTTGTGCGTGGTTATCGTGAAAAGGAAAGAAGAACACTTATGAACTTCGATTTTTTTTTAGGGCAATTTTCACATATAGCAAACAAAAAATTTATATTTGTATAATATAGCAAACTTTGCATAATTGCGCTCATAGCAAACATAAAAACTGTATAATTCGTTATAAATATACAAGTGTATAATTCCCTGGCCTATTTCACTGCAATTGTATAATTTGTTTTGCATATAGTTGAATCGAATTAAAATGTATGTATATTGCATAATTATAAGTGTATAGCAAGAAGATATATGTTTTTCTCGCTTTATACAAAAACAGAAACACAATATATACACTTCTGTTGTATAAAGCTAGAGAAAATTGTATTTCACTGCAATTGTATAATTCGCAATTGTATAATTCGTTGGCCTTTTTCTCTGCAATTTTTGAAGTAAAATGTTTGTAAATTGTATAATTAAGTGTTTAACACGAAGATATACATTTTTGCATGTGTATATACAATTTTTTCTCGCTTTATATAAAACAGAAACAGAATTATACACTTCTGTGTATAAAGCGAGAGAGGCGAGCGAGAATGGAGAGTGACGAGCGAGATTCCTGGGAGAGAGACGCTGGCAAATTTTAGATAATGTTTGCTATGGAGCACAATTAAATCAAACCTAGCTATTTTATTTAATTTAGGTTATTAGTTTGCTATTTTATATAATTTTCCCTCTTTTATGAGGGCAAGGGATTTGGGTAGGGTTAGAATTGGAGCTGGGTTGGGTAAAATAAAATGGGCTGGGGTCGAGTTATTTTTAGTGAGTAAAAATGGATGTTGGACCAATTTGAACTGGGCTCAAAATTAAAATATGATTGGGCTGCTGAAAATATTTGTATAAAGGCCCACAACTTGGTCCTTTAATAGCTGAATAAAATTATAAGTAAAAATTTAAGGAATTTCATAGTGTAATTCAATAATTACACTCTGTCCCGATAAAATTAGTATTTACTAAAAATCCCTTAAAATTGTTGTGCCGTGATACTTTAGACTCTAGTGATACATGATAAGTTTAAACTGTTAAGAAAAAAATGGGGGGAAAACGGTACATTTAATCTTGTTAACTAAACCAACTAAATTTACGGTAACAGATCATTAATCAGTATTAAATCAGCACGTAATTGGATATTAAATTCAAATTTTGAAAATCAAAGATTATATCATCTATTTTGAATACATTTTTTATGAAAATACTAAATAAAACAACTAATACATTACTGATACATGATATCAATTTTCAGAAATTCATACTGCATGAAAAACATGTGATACATATCTACTACATGTATCAGTGCATTGACTAAACATTATAACATGTGATACATATATAATACATGTATCAGTACATCGACTAAACATTATACACACTGATTCTATATGTATCATCAAGCACAGTTGATGACGCAGTTATTAAACTTAGTGAATGATACATTATAACAATTTTCAAAACTTCATGATACATAGAAAATATTATGATACACAACAAATTCATGTATTAATGCATCATCTAAAACACTATACTCACTGATTCAAAATGTATCAGCAAGCACACTTGATGGGGCATTTATTGAAATTAATCACTGGTACAAGATAAAAAATTTAAAAAACCCTTGATACATAGGAAATCATATGATACACATCTAGTTCATGTGTCAAAGCATAGACTAAACATTATAATCCACTTAGTACTCATGTATTAAACCTATTGTCTGATACATGATAATAATTTTCATGATTTTTTGATACATATTGAATTTCTTAGAATTTTTACTAATTTCAACAACAGTTTTAAGTACAAAAATACAAACCCGAAACAATGTAGGCCTAACAACAATGTTTGTTGCTTCTTTTTTCTTTTTTTTGTTGTATTTTGACAACCTTTGATTTTGATGTTTCGCTAGAGTCTTTGTTTGAATCCTTCTGAAGATTCATAGGGTCATGCAAAGACTTTTTTCTATTTTCTTTCCAATTTTCATCGTCGGAATCATATATCCTTCTATTAATTAACGGATCCATTACTATGATGTAATAGAACAATTAACCAAAACAAAAAAAGGAAGAAAAGAAGAACTGATGATGGATTAAGAAGAAAAAGAAGAAACCAATAAAACATGATGGGTTAAGAAGAAGAAAAACGATGATGGATTAAGAAGAAAAAGAAGAAACCAATAAAAGATGCTGGGTTAAGAAAAAGAAAGACGATGATGAAGAAAGAAGAACTGAAGACGTGATGGAGTAAGAATAACACTAAGAACGGGAGAGAAATTGTCCAGATTTTTGAAATTTCAAATTTTTTGAATTTTAAAATTCAAAATTGTGTGTTTCAATTAAAATTTATTAAAATTAATAATTCAAAATCCAAAAACTGATTTAAAAGGTTGAGTGTTTTAATGGAGAAAAAATAGGCATTATATTGGGTAATTGTGTATTATAGGAGGGAGAATGTTATATATCTATACACTTCTACTAACATTAAAAAAAAAGAATTATGTAATATTTAAAAAAGAAGGGAAAATTAGAGATTATAAAACTCATAGTTGTGTATTTAAGTTATTTTTCCAAATTATAATTTAGCCAATTCAAAATTAATCAACCAAAATTCAAATAGGCTGAGTAACACAACTAATCTATGAGTTTCTCAATTCTTAACGACATGAAATAATTAACTTAATTATAAACTATTCAAAATATAACTATAATTTTAAGCAAACTAATTTAAAAAAAACTTACTAAAATTAAAGTCTTTAAAGATGATTTTTGAATATTTCACAAATAAACTAATCAGACAAAAACCCATAAAAATATATATCGTTTTAAACCATAAAAAATTGACTAAAGCTACTCTAAAATGACTTGAAAATATTTGAATCTTATAAAGTCAACTATTTCAACTCGTTTGGCAATTAAGAAACTCGTGAATTAATTTGTGTCGGAAAGATCTAAAATTGGGTGTCAACACTCATTTTTAGAGTTCCAAGAACCGAATAGAACTCTGATTTCTTCCAAAAATTGTATTACAGGTAGTTGTCGCGCTTCAACAAGGCAATCATTTATACATTCTTGTATGTTTGAAGTCATCATTCTCCCCTTGTTTACTGTTGCATGAACTCTTGATCACTTTTCATAATCGGAATCCTCAAGATACATCTTAATCCAATTATCAATTTTAACGACTTCAGCCATCAATTTCACAAAATCCTTTTTCCTATAAGACTTGGTCATTTAATAGAATACATCACTTAGTATGTTTTTGCTTCTCTTGAAACTTGTACAAACATTTTTTCAAACGTGCCAAATGCATGTAAAATGAGGAACATTTGGAAAAACAGTTCTAATGCCATTAATTATGCTTTCATTTCTATCTGATACAATACACATTGTTCCCTCTATTCAAATGCACTTTTAAATTGTTGAAAGAACTATGGCCATTACAATCATTTTCACTGTCCACCACTCCATAAGCTAACGGCAATATGCAACCTACTCAGAAACTGATTTGTTACTTTAGATAAACAAATATCCATATATAAAGTCTAATACAGAAATCATACCTGCACCATCAAGCGTACTTGCTGATACAAAAGTTACTTTGTAAGCTCCATAAAGATGTGCACCATCAAAAACAACTACTGGTCTACAATAGTCAAAGCCCCTCATTAGTGGCCTTAATGATATGAACAAATACATGAACTTATTTTCCTCCGACTTAGTGCATCCGTGTATAACAATTTGGGTATACGATTTCCAACATATATAGATATTTAGGCAACTGTCTATATCATTCGCAGACTTGCCCCTTATCATCTCTAATGCACGCTCCTTAGCACGCCATGCTTGCTTGTATGAAATATCAATCCCATACAGTGCTCTTATATCCTCAATAACATCATTTGCTATATGAATTCTTTTATGATTGTGCAGTTTAGGCGCTGTCACAACACTTGTAAACCCAACTGTAGCTTGAACAATTGTTCATAATCCATCCCTTATTGGACATGCATGTTCACTATTGAAGTACCTCATTTTGAATAAATCTGATTTCTTCCTAAGAGATGCATTGAATCTCCAACAACAGTCATCAGATGAGCACAATAATTTGTAGTTGTATTTTTCTAGATACAACTTGTATAAGTTTTACTACAATAATGTATCATCATTATTGCACACATATCAAACATCAAGAGTATAGTAAAATGTACTAACTACTTTATATTGATACATTAATCAAAACAATTATATGTTGATACATTAACACATAAAAATCTAGATATAATTATTGTATCATAATTCTAACCAGTAATGTGTTCTTATTGTTTCATAAATTACAACTATACATTAGTCAGAACGATCATATTTCTAAACATTAGCATCAAATAAACTAGACGACAATAATTTTGTCAATAACATATCCTTACCGTTTCAATAAATTGCAGCAATATATTAATCTCAACGATCATATATTGATACATTAACACATCAATTAAACTAGACAGAATTATTGTATCATAATTTAGCCAGTAATGTAACTTTACTGTTTCAACAAATTCCAGCAATACAGTAATCAGAACAATCATATATTGACACATTAATACATCAAATAAACTAGAAAAACTTATTGTATCGTAATTTTTGCAAGTAATGTGTCCTTACTATTTTAACAAATTGCAACAATACAGTAATCAGAACAATCATATATTGATATATTAACACATCAAATAAACTAGACAAAGTTTCATACCTCTTGTTATCAAATCTCTTTACTCTGAAATTAAAGTCATTTTTATTTTTGTATTTTTCCATTACAAATATCAGAGTGGCTTTCTCTTTGTACAATTGATCCATTTTAATGTCTGTACTTTTTGTATCAGATATGTAATTCGTCACCTCGAACTCTGGTATGTGAAACAAATCACCATTTTTTTATTCTACCAAGTTGAGAGCTAGTGTATCATGTTCAACACCTTCAACACAGACGATTGAACCAGTTGATACATCAAAACTTTCATTGTCGCCAACATCCTTATCAATTATATCAATACAAAGGGAATACGTTCCAAATCCAATCTCGCGTTTCTTCACCTCTATGTACAAGCTTACTCCCATATCAATCCTTATACTCATTGGAGAGGAATTTCCTTCTACAATGTATCTTATTTTAAAAAAATTCTTGACTTATCAATATTAAACTTAGCCGCAATTGTTGAAATTAGATTCATGAATGAAACATGCTCACTAACAAATATCCCATCACTCTTGTATCATTCATATTTAATCTCACTCTCCCAAATTTCAGAATGCCTCAACAAAATTGATATATTCATTAACTATCTTATTAAACACAGAACAACAAAGTTGATTCTCAGTCGAAGTCCTCTTTGTAGAAACAGAGAAGAAGATGAACACGATTTGAATCTTTCAATTTTGATTTGATTTATTGAAACATAGAAGAAGATGAAGATTGAGAATAACGTCAGCGAAATTGATTAGCTTGATTTAAGGGATTCAATATTTGATTTTCTATTTTTGTATCCAGACTTTAATTAATAAAGTATCCGCTCCATCTTATTAATGTATCAGGACCAATTATTATTGTATCAGTATTTTTTATTTTTAAGGGATTTTTATCATTAAAATTTTATAAGGGACAAATGATCATCTTGCTTTAAAATTTTGTTATTTTTGTCCTTTGTCCAAAATTTATGGATATGATTTGCTTGCTTAAATCTATGATGGTACAAATTAAATAAACTTGAAGATTCATAAAATAATCTGAAGCATTAATAAACAAATATCATGCATTCCAAAACTCCCAAGTACTATATTTTTATTGAAATGAAAATTATACACTTAAAATCAATTCATGTTTAGCTTAAATTTTATTCAAGTAATAAAACACAAAAATCATAAAAATAAAAGTGTAGCTAATCAGTATGCATCTCCCAATTTTAGAAACGCCAATGTTTGAGAGGCATCACAGCAAACTTCATATTCCCAGTCTTGCAATGGATTCCTTTGTGTTCTCCACAACCAAAATAGTAAGTTTGCATTTTCTTTAGCACAAACTCAAATCCTTCCCCTGCACCTTCACTTGGATCTGCTATCCTTTTAGCTCTCCTGAAATCACACTTGATGAAACTCCGATAATTTGAGAATAAATAAACACTGTGTGGAAATCCAGTACCATTTACATTTGGTGGATCATACTTGAACACTGCATGCCACAAATATATTAAAGTGTGATAATCAGAACTTAAGTGTATATATATATATAGAGAGAGAGAGATATAGAGAGAGAGAATGGTATTATTGCATTCACTATTTATTTTGTTTTAAGGAATAGAACTTAGTATAAATAAATAATTAAATAATACTTTTAAAAAAATATCAAGACGTGGGATGAATTTTTTGTCACAACACATGAGAAAATCGAGATATAACAATATCTGATGCATTAAGTAATGTTAAGAAAATGCACACTATACATGTTTTATTTAACTTTAATAGATTCAATTGAACCCCTTTAGCTACATGTCAAATTTATATAAATGACATGATAAAGCACAAATGTACTAAAAGTAGAAATTTTAAAAACAAAGACATACCTAAGGTGTCATTAACAAAGAACGGACCATTGTTTCGAGCCCAATCCATGTAGTTGAAGCCATAATGCCAATTTTTCGAACCTCCAATGATGAATTTATTGGAGGTCTGAGTGGCATTTGGGGGATGAGAATAAGGGCAATTGGTTTTGTTCCATGTTATAGGACCCCAATTGAAGTCATGGTTGGCTAGTCCAATGGAAAACATGGATGAGAACAATACTGCAAGTAAGAGAAATGCTTGTCCATTAGCAAAAGCCATTTTGATAAGTTTGCTAGCGAAGAAAAGAAGTTGAGTTGATGAGGATGATGTTGAGTCACCCAAATGATATGGAGTATATATAGCAAACTCATATGTGGTCAAAATGAAGACTATTTGGACCAAAATAAGTTGGTCATTTTCATGAAATTGGTTGGTGAGACAGGAAAGTTAGTGGTCTTGGTTTTCCCCCAATGTTTTCTTTAAATATTCCCAAGTGCCAAGTCCACCAATGAAAAGAAAATACTATTGCACATATGTTGCACTTTTTCGCTTATTACTTCCTCCGTCTGGTTTTGTTTATCATGATTTCTATTTTTCGAGTCAAACTATAAAAACTTTAACTAACATTTTAAGATGCATTTTTTCATCATCTTAATATGCAAAAAAATTGTAATTTATAGTACTTTTCATATAATTTTAGAATATCTAATTTTTTGTTTAAAATATCAAATTAATGTGATCTAATTTATCTTTGAAAATTAGTCAAATTGACTTTTTATTAACACAACATAACAAACAATTCCGGATGGTGAAAGTACTATTTTACAATTTCTATATGCTTACTTGCTTAATTAACCGAGTTTCAAACTCCATGAGAGTTCATAAAATCAGCTCTTGAAAATTTGATCCACTTAATTCATATTAACAGTTGATTTATTAGCTTAAACTATTTCAATTCATAGCAAATAGGGTTGATATATACCTCAAATTGATCCAAAAGAATTCTAATCAAAATTTATTTTGAAAGACTTTTTATTAATATTAATATATAGTCATATAAATAAAAGGGAAAATTTTAAAAATATCAATATTTAAGCATTTGATAGGACCCTTAGCCACACTTTTAATATTTATTTAAAATGTTAATATTTTGATTTGTTATATTGTTGATTTACGTATCATTTTTCTTTGATTTAACTGAATAAAAATACAACTAAGCAAATAACAACTTAGAGAAAATCAAGGCAGAGAATATTTTAAATAAAGTAAATAGTGGTGAAAATATATTATTAGTTACTTTAGATTAGGAGATAAACTAGACACAAATTCTCTCGTCTTCCTTATCATCCATTAACGACTTTTGATTTTCCTTTGATGATCTTCCTCCTTCGTAAAAGGCAAGACAAGATTTTTGCTGAAAAAAGAGATTGATACAGATTAAGAGACTAAAATAGGTGACAAATTCTCTCGTCTTCCTCATCCTTCATTAGCAACATTCAATTCTCCATTGGTGATCCTCCTTCTCCGCAGAAGACATGTCAATGATTAAAGTTTTTGCCCGAAAAAAAGGAGATTCATACAAAAAGATAGGCATACAAATAGACATTGGGCTAGAAGTTCAGTTCTGCTGAATTTATTGTTTGGTGCCTTGTTCATCCCTATTTTGCTACGGATGGGATCTAATCTTATTTGGTGTCCCAATTTTTGTTTTCTTAAACATTGAGTCAAATTTTTCTTGTAGCTTTTTCATTTCTAATTTTTGTATTCGATATTTGATCAGTTTACTTTTTTTTTACTTTGTGTTTGTTGTTATTTTTGTTCTGGAGGAACCTACCACCATGCGTTCAATAGGATGATCTTAAGGATGTCATCGCTCCAGACAAAATAGTTATCCACGTAACTATATTGTATTTCATAAAAATTGAATACAAAATCATTAATGAATACAAACTTACATTCATATAACAAAAGGTATTCATGATTGAGTTATGTGTGTATTTTACTTTAACTGTGAAAACTAAAAAGTGTATCTAATGATCAAGACTGTAATATTAAATAACTGCCAAATATATTTTTCTTTTATTTGTATTATAAAATATTATTGATTGCACGCTAGTATAATCTAATCATTGCATATGAGTGATATTTTAAGAAAGAATACAATATTCTTAAAAAAAATACAAATTGACTGTGAAAGAAATTGGATACATCAATGCTTAAGAAATACAAATCCATTTGGCATACCTGTTGGATTGACTATAAACTAAGAAAAATATAATATTTTTAATAAAAATACAAACGTTGAGTAAAAGAAAAACAATTGACAAACAAAAATTAATATGAATAACATTTTTGCAACCTTCTTCTCCTACTCTGATTTCTTTCTTTCTTCTTCTTCATCAGCTATGTTCTTTTTCAGATTTTTTGTTCGCCAAACTCAAATATGAATCTGTATTCACTTGTGCATTAGTAAAACTTTGTCTCATTATCAAAAAAATATAACTACTCAAATAAATTAAAAAACTTACATGTCAAAACTTCCAAACAAATTAATGCTTGAATAGTTAATGAATACTTGATTCTCATATTATAATGACCGAAATATGTTTTTATCACAAAATAAACCTACTCCACACAAAATACATACACCAAATATAACATAATAAGTATAAAATCATCAAATAATAAAATATGACTACAATCTAAAATAACATCACTATTTCTTAAAAATGAATACAACTATATAAAGTAAATATATATGTTTAATTGACTGGATACAAACGACACTCTTACATTGTCCACACCTAGAAAATTATACATAGATATTATGAGTCCAAGTATTTGTGTATATCGTCAAAATTAACAGAATGTTCACAAATACAAATACAAAAAAAATAATTAAGAAATACAATATCTATACTAACAAATCCACAATATCCATAGACATCGATAATACTATTTTATATCAATACACATACTTTATAAATTTTGAAAACTATTATATTTCAATACGCATACTATTTTATACCGATAATAAATTATTAATTTATTTGGATACCTCTTGTAATTCTCTTAGATTCGGTCATTAGAGAGTGATTTTGAGGTTTTCAAACCCTAAACGAAATTGGTTAAACAAAATTTTTGAATGATTTAAACAAAAATAAAATTAGTAAACAAAGGTAAAAATCGAATAAAGCTGCATATCCTAATCCAGAAGATTTTTGTTAATATCTTTAGAGATATATTTTCAAACTCTGGAGGAAAAAAAAGATGAAAAATAGAGAAGCGAGAGTGTAAAGATGAAGAATTGGAAGAGTAAAATTAGTGAGAGAAAATACTACTTTTTAAATATATATAAACTATATATATATATATATATATAATAACTATATATATATATATATATATATATATATAGATAGATAGAGAGAGAGAGAGAGATAAGGAGTTGGAAAATTACAATTAAGGTGAGGTAAATAAGATTTAAAAGTTAGGATATACAATATTTTCTAAAAGCATTGACATTTTGACATTTTTACTAGTATTTTTAAATTATAGATTTTTTAAATAATTATGTTAGAATTTTTTTACTAGTTTAGTAATTTTCCATAAATAGAAACTAATTTTATTAGGTACTAAAAAATTCTAAAAGAACAAAAAAATAAAATAAAATAACACCATATGCACATTTAAAGCGATATATATCGGGTTATAAACATATTTTTACAAAATTCTTACTTATAGCAGATTATTTTCGAGTTATAGCATATCAATTAAAATTATATTTAATTAAAAATCAATTAATAATCTAATTTAGATATTAATTAATATGTTTAAATTTTTAATTCTATTATTACAGTTACCTTTTCAAAAACCACCTCTTTAAATTTTTAGTTTATTAATTATATATTTTTATAGTGTCCTTTTTAAAACTAATAATCAGTTTAAATATTTTTAGGGATTTAAATTTATCATGTTCCTTGTTTACATTACCCAATCACCCATACCCCATTCACAGCTCACCCCCATCACAAGCTATTCTTAGAAACAGCCTCGTCAATTTTATCTGCATGCTCTCTCAGAACTTTCCACCGATCCATGCTCAATGAGATGTCTGACAAAGGAAAATACTACAGTTAGTTTCTTTATGTTATATGATACAAACTATAACTCCTTTCAGATGCGCAGATCCCAAAAAATTGATTATAGAAGGGGAGAATGACAGGTTACACGCTCTTCTCACGCCTCACACCATCCCACTTCAATCTTCCTCAAAAGTGAATGAAGCTATTGATAAACCTGTAACAATGATATCACTATTTTCGTCGAGCACAAAATTTTATGGTAAAAGACTTAATCTATTTGCCAACAATCTTCCTGAATATTAATACAGGTCTCAATCCGAACTACTTGATATCAAGCATATGATGGATGTTCCTCAACAAGAAGATAGTTTCAAGTATGTATTTTCTATACTCTACTGATTTCATAAAGAATGACAACATTATTTAGTTATTAACATATTTCTTCTTTCAATTTTTTTGCGGCGATTGTGGTATGTACAAATCTCTTTTGCTGAATACATCAGTAATGGTGTTTTTGATATGTTCATTGTTGATATCGATGCAACATACCATCGACAAAGGTATGTCACAATACTGTGGCGTTATGAAAAATCAAAGAATGAAGAGGGCACAATAAGTCATAGTGAAGTTACTGATACGGTTGCTAGCAAATATGGCGGACCTCACACACCAAAAGAACATGTTTCGGACACAACCAATCATCCTACACCAAGACCACAGAAAAGAAATTAGAAATAGTTTATTGCACCTTCTACCTTTTTTTAGACTACATTTTTTTTAACTCTTGAACAATTTGTTTATGTTTAAGTATTTCATTATTTTTTTTTATCATATGTTTTTTTTCCAGTTATTCCATGTTCTTAAGAATTATAGATAGGTCTATATAATTTATGGATACTAGTATTATACATAAATCATACCATCTGCATTCAATAGTTCAAAGTAGCACTTTCATTTCAAAATGCACCATTAAATGGATGAAATATGTATCAAATATGATTAAAATATATATGAATGTGTCTTCAATTATTGATTATTTTAATTTCATGATACTATACATCAGTGGATTGTCAATGTACCCTTATTTGAATGAAATATGTATGATGTCTAATTACTACTTCTATGAACATGACATCACATCATATTTTGATTTATTACTTTTTAATGTGAAAAATATCATACATTCAATTTATACTTTTTTGAAAATACTTGTATAAATATGTATTTTCAATTGTTGGTTATTTTATTTTCATGATACTTTCAATATACATAGTTCATACCATATGGATTCACTATTTTTAACATATTTTGACTAGGGATTCATTGTATCATTGATATGTTAAAAATAATGGATCCGTATGTATGAACTTTGTATGATTTTTATAT